CAGACATATTTCTAAAGTTTTGGTGGGATTGCTTGGCAGGTTCGAGTAGCTCCCATACAAGTCTAAAAGATTATTCTTAATATTTGGAAAAATAATAAAGTCAGATTCATGAAACTTGGCAGTGGTGTGTTCGATTATAGATCAGATATATTTGTGAAGTTTTAGTAGAATTGCTTGGGAGGTTCGGGTACCTGCCATACAACTCCAGAAGCTAATTTTAATATTTGTAAAAATAATAAAGAAAAAATTGTGTATCCAGTTATAGGTCAGATATAATTCTGAAGTTTTGGTTGAATCGCTCTACAGGTACGAGTAGCTCCCATACAAGTCCAAAAGTTTAAATATGTGGAAAAATAAAGTCAGATTCATGAAACTTGGCAGTTGTATGTTCAGTTATAAATCAGACATATCCGTGAAATTTCTATAGAATGGTTTCACAGGTTTGAGTAATTGCGATACAACAACGAAAGGTGCAAGGTATAATTCAATCGGTTTATACCGACTGAAACGTTTTTACTTGTTTAAATTTTTTTTTGTTTTTATTTCTTTTAATACAATACTTTCACCAATGTTTATGTAAGAGATTTTCAATATTATGAATTTCTCATTTTCTTACACAGTCCTTATTTGCTAAAAAAATAAAGAAAATCTTTAAAGGTAACAAATAAAAATTTTGCACGTAAAAAGCAAATATTTCTTTGTAATAAAAATGTCGTTTAAGTTAAAATGTATATATTGAGAAAAGAACTTGTGCACTACTATGAAAACCAAAAATTAACTCGTTTTATACGTTTTTGTGATGTTCTGCGTCAAGTAAATTTTTACAATAAATTTTTTGTTGCTCACTAGAACCAAATCAATATTTTATGCTCCAAATAATTTTTTGTGGAAACAACATTGTAAATAGAAATAATAATGGTAGTAAGAGCGTACATTTTTTATCGTTTGTCATTATAATTTTTTTTATTTTCGTTTGAATGATTGACATGTAGACTGATTGAATATCAGGACTTTAATATTTTCATGAAGTTTAAGAAACAGATAAAAGATTAATGAAAATGTTCTTTTGTATGTTCTTTTACGTTTCTTATTTAAATCCCTTTGCAAATTCGATAATTCATTAAAAAACAGAATTTTTAACCCAAGTTTGACACGATAAAGTTACGATGCGTGAAATATTAAATAAATTCAAAATTTTATTTCATACATACGGGAAAATGTGTATGTATGTAGTAATATTTGTATATGTGAACATTGTTATTAAAAAAATAAAATGTTAAAAAGAAAAAAAGTATATATGTATTTTTTACTTTTAATCCTGGTAAACAATGTGATTTTTTTTAAAAAGAGAAATTATAATGACAAAAACGTCTACTTTGAATTCAATTTCCATTTTTAGCACTTTTCCAAAAATTTTTTGAAAAAATGTGCATATTAGTTTCACTCTGTCCGTCCGTTCGTCCGTCTGTCCGTGTGTCTGTTTACAAAACTTCTACACCCTTGAAGATAGAAAGCTGAAATTTAATACTTGCATAGATCTTTTCTCTCCCCCTTTTAGAAGTTATACCCCCAAAAAACCTTAAAAATGCAATTTTTTAACTATTTAGTGCAGTGAAACCATAAGCATTTTTCAAATTTTGCAAACGCAGAAAGGCAGTGGCTTACATCCCCTACCGCGGTATACTATAGGTTAACTTTTGAGAAACAAAATGGCCGTTCAAATTTACCGTTATCTAAAATCCGTTGTTTTTTAAAAATTTTTGATGTCGTTTATCTTCTAGACCCAAGCCTCTAAAATCCTGAAGCCTTAGGGGTTTTAGGCACTAATAAATGCTTCATTTCGTTAGAAGAAAATGTTTTTCCATCTCAACCCCGTCTCAATTATCGCCTATGAAATTTGTGAAATTTGAATTTTTGACGCCTTATATTTCCGTAACCGAAAGCTTTTTCAAATTTCTATCAACGCAAAAAGCTAACGGTAAATTCCATGACATTAAAAAATATTATTATCTCTCTTGACTCACACAATTAACCCTTAAAATCGAGCGTTATGTTAACCCCATTTTTTATTAATTCTTGCTTTAAAGACTGCATAAATCGTTCATCCTAGGTATATGCAATCCTAGAAATAGTTTCGTTTATGAATGAAAATAAATTTAATGGTGGATACACATAGACTGTATTTTAAAAGCAGTATTTTCGTTTGTTGAAGGCAAAAGTGCTACAATACAAATCATTGGTTTGACCCAACTTTATTTCTATTATACATGTACTAAAACAGGTATGAGCAATGTAAAACAAAAAAAAAAATTTTTTTCCAAATTCAAAGTTTTTTGGATGGAAGAAAATTTTTCCAAACTTCCTTTATAGGATTTATGAAAATGTATAATAAACGAATCAATATGCTTTTTACATATACATATATCAACTTATATTGATTATTGAAAAAAGCCTGAAAATTGGAGACTCATTTTGACTGATTAAAGTTAATATTTTTGGGTATTTCATCAATATGTTTTAAAGTTGATGTGAGAACATTTTGAGGTTTAGAATTATCAGATCACTTTTTTTCCTATTATTCTCTTATATTATAATATTTAATATTAAAAATTTCTATATGCATAATGAGGACTTAAATATTTTAGAATAGAATAGAATTGCCCGATTCTGACAAGCTAGAATGCATATTAGTTGTTTTTACACATTTTTATACCCTGCACTTCGTGAAGGGTATATTAACTTTGGTATGGAGTTTGTAACTACTTGAAGGAGTCATCTGCGGTATGGACATATACATATATTCTTGCTCAGCGTAAAATTCTGCGTCGATTTAGACATGTCCGTCCGTCCGTCCGATCGCACGATAACTCAAAAACGAATAATGCTATCGACACCAAACTTTCAAAAGTTTTTTCTTTTGTGCCAAGGACAAACCCTATTGTTATTGGACTAATTCGGACAACGGGTTCGGGTAGCTGCCATACAACTCAAAGAGTTTATTTTAAATATTTTGAAAACTAATAAAGCTATAAATATAAAATTTTGTATACATGTGTCCAATTATATTCTACACATGCTCCAAAAATTATAATGGGATAGCTGCACCGGTTCGTGTGGCTGCCATACAACTCCAACAGCAAATTTTTTATATTCGGAAAAATAATAAAGTCAGATTCATGAAACTTGGCAGTCATGTGTCCAATTATAGGTCAAATATATTTCTGAAGTTTTAGAAGAATTGCTTGACAGGTTCGGGTACTTGCCATACAACTCCAAAAGCTTATTTTAAATATTTGAAAAAATAATAAAGTCAGATTCATTAAACTTGGCAGTTGTGTGTCGAGTTATAGGTCAGATATATTTCTGAAGTTTTGGTGGGATTGCTTGGCAGGTTCGAGTAGCTCCCATACAAGTCTAAAAGCTTATTCTTAATATTTGGAAAAATAATAAAGTCGGATTCATGAGATTTGGCAGTCGTATGTCCAATTATAGGTCAGACATATTTCTAAAGTTTTTGTGGGATTGCTTGGCAGGTTCGAGTAGCTCCCATACAAGTCTAAAAGATTATTCTTAATATTTGGAAAAATAATAAAGTCAGATTCATGAAACTTGGCAGTGGTGTGTCCGATTATAGATCAGATATATTTGTGAAGTTTTAGTGGAATTGCTTGACAGGTTCGGGTACTTGCCATACAACTCCAAAAGCTTATTTTAAATATTTGGAAAAATAATAAAGTCAGGTTCATGAAACTTGGCAGTAGGATGTCCAATTATAGGTCAGACATATCCGTGAAGTTTCTATAGAATGACTTCACGGGTTCGAGTAACTGCTACACAATAACGAAAGGTGCAGGGTATAATTCAATCGGTTTATACCGACTGAAACGTTTTTACTTGTTAATATTGCATTATACATAAACTTAATTTTTTGAACCTTAAAGTGACCATTTTACTAAAAGTAGAAAAGAGGAAAAGAAAATTTAATTGACGCATAGTATTTTTCGATAAACGATAATATTATGGAACTAAGACAAAAAACTAAATATAAAGCAATTCATAAAACGTACATATAAGTTGAACTTAAAAAAATCATCATGTAAAGTTTAATATTTTTTTAGTATCAACAATATTTTTGATGAAAATCGCTACATTGCTCTTCTTCTACTTTTATTTTTTTTTTGTACAAAAAGGGAAATATCTTGTATCACATTGTGCTAAGGTTTTAATTATTTATTGCGATTAACCGGTCCATAGAGGCATTATAATAAATTTAAAAACTTTACAAGACTCTGCAAAGTAAGATCCATAAAATATATCATAGAAACAATTTTGTATTGGATCAATTTATTTTGGCATATATATAACTTTGCTGTAATTTAAAATAAGCAAAACAAACAACTGAATATTCAGAAAAGATATGGAACAGCAGTCAACAAATAGGAAATGTAAGCACGATGTACGTTAGCACATACATTAATAAATGTAATGTACGTGTTTACATGTATATTTTTTTTAAAAATGGAGGTAATATAAATAATTAGGTTCTGATTGTTTGAAAATCGTTGAGGTATTCTGCGTTTTACTCTTGCAAGCTTAGCCGAAACTTATAGGTGTTAAATATATTTCCCTTATTTTAGAAAATTTTATAATCCTTTTGAACTATGATATTAATTTTCAGACCGTTAACAAAAATTAACTCAAAAATGTAGTTTTTTTTTCATAATTGTGCAAGTGAGTGATTGCTGTTTAATTAAAATTTTCATTTATATAATATTTTAAAAGATTTCTTTAGCATATTATACTCAAAAGGCTGTACTAAATGATTTAAACTGTTTAGGTTAACAGTTTCTGTGTACTTGTTGTGTAAATATTGTTCGCTATTGTTCACGAGACCCACGCCTTCACATATTAATCCATTTTGGTCCATTAAATAATATGTCTTATTCTTAATTTACAATTTAAAATATAAATTTTAATTTTTGACCTTTTTTTATTTTCAGCTGTACAATTTTTTTAATGCTTTATTGACACACATTCCTGATGCTGCTGGAAAAGCAGTAGAATCACAACCAACTTCAAGAGCATCGTCAACAGGTAAACAATCGCATAAAATAAAATTAATTATAAAACGAGAAAAAATTAAGTTGACCGTGGCAACTCTGTGATATCCGTACAAATTTATTATCCTGTGTGAAGGTAAATATGTCATAGCTGACTGTGGGGCAGACTACGACTTTAAGTTGGCGTATTACCATATTAATTTCAATTCTGTGTTTTTAATATATTCTAAGATATAGCCAAACTACTATGGAAGTTGTATGAAACTAATGGACGGACAGACAAAGCTAAATCTACTTAAAATTAGTCGCTGATCAAAAATATATACTTGAGTCTAAGTCTCAGATTATTATTTCTTAGCGTTACAAACGGTAAGGCAAATTTAGTGTACCCTTCGAACATACTTAAAATTTCCCCTTAGAAAATCAAGTCTAAGACTTATGTGCTTGGTTTGTATTTTAACTTTATTACATAAAGGGCTAATAAAATTTAGCATATGAAAAGTTATATCGGCAATTTCTAATTTATTTAATATGAAATACATACAGGTAATTCGGTTCAACCAACGCTTTGTTGCAACAAGAATAAATGTTTTACAATAAACAAGAAAACAATCTCTTTACTACTTTATTAGGGGTTGGAATTGGAAAAAAATTTTCTTCTATTTTTTAGTATCTAAGAGCTGTTCAAATTTAAAATAAAAGATATCAAAACTTTGGAAAAAAACAAATTTTAGATAAATTCTAAGGGCCATTTTGTTTTTAAAAAGTTTAAATATTGTATACCAACAACTACACTCCTGCGTTTGCAGAATTTAAAAAATGTTTCTGGTTTTGCTGCAATAATTACTAAAACTGCATTTTTAGGACTTTGGAAGCTATAACTCTTAGGGAGAGGAAATAGGTAAAAATTTTTTTTTACGGAAATAAGTTTAATATCTATGTACATATGACATATCAGCTTTATATCTTTAAGGGTGTAGAAGTTTAGTTAACGTGTCCGCGGACGGACGGTCGGTGGGAACTAATAAGCACTTTTTTTTAAATTTTTTTTGGAAAAGTCTGGACACGTAAAAATAATTAAGAAATTTAGTCAAAAAATTTGACATTTGCAATTGTTACTAAAATATTATATGTATGCTTCATAGACGATTCTTAAGAACCGATTTGATATTAAATTAGTTTTAATTTTCATTTTATGGTTATATATGTGATGCATTTAGTTGATGTTTCTATGTAAAATATCTGTTCATCGGTTTTGTACAATAAAGGAAAAATTTATTGTATAAAAATCAATTTTATATGGTTAATTTAATATTACAGAGGTTGAACGAAATCTATCAAGTTATCTAGAAAAGATTTATCAATATTAAAATATCAAGAACATAATATGAAAGAGACAAAAAGACTTTTATTATTTAATAAAACTTACACTATAAGGAGTACTATCGTTGTTTCATATGTTACTATCAACAATTATCAACAATCTTAAACTACTCGTATATTTATGAATTCATACCAATATAATTAACTGACTGTACACATACTGATTTTATTCACAGAACATTTAGAGTCGAATTTCGCTGATGAATCTGATGATCTTGGTGAAGATGGTGTTGCACCAGAAAAATCTTACCGTGGACCACATTTGCAATTTCCTTTAGATAAAAAAGATGTTCACACATTAATTGATTTATTTCGTAAGAAGAAGGTAAATATATTTAAAAAGAAGCAATGAAACATAATGTTTTTGTTAAAGTATAAGTTATTATGATTATTACTTAACAGTGTCTGTTGACACCAGATTATATACATACCTAGATATATGTTATTAAAGTAAATTTATATATTTTATGTATATATGTTATTAAAGTAATAACTAATTTTTTGTCCCTAATACTAATTTTTATCTTATTATTAATATAATAAAGCGATAGCAAGTATCTATTGTAAATCGCATTGATGTATTGTTGATTTTGGTACCAAGCGTATTATTTTTGATTTGGGCAATGATTTCAGTAAAATACTTTTCGACAGTTAAGAAAAATTTCCCATTTAAAGCGAGTATTTAATTTTTATAATTACGTGTGTTTAATTTTTACCGGGCGTATTGTGTATACAATAGTTAGATTATGTGATGGAACGCACATTCTCATGGTAGGGAAGTGTAAATAAAGTATTTTTAGCAACCTGTCGGTCTGTGAGTCTGTGTGTGCTCGCGTGTATCTCAAGTTCGGCTGAATCGATTTTGATCAAATTTTATATGTAAGTTTATTTCGACCATGGCACGAATTGATCAACTTTTGCGATATATCAGGCCTCGGAAACTGTACTTTTTAGCGGACCTACTTTGCATTTTTGATCACTATGACGAAAATATTAAACAGGTTTACTAGAAATTTCATATTTAGGCTTTGTTCGACTGTCCGCGAAACCTCCTATTTTTTGGAAGAAATCAGATGTCAGCAACTGAAAGTTTACTACGGGTCAAATATAAATTTTTGCGTACACTGTAAAAAAGTCGTGTAAAATTACTGCAATAATACTGGGAATTTGAATTCCTAGTATAATTGTAGCGAAAAATCTCAACGATAGTTAAATATTACACCGGCGAGTAATTTACAAATTTTACTTTTTTGTAGAGTAAATTTTTTACTAGATTGTAGAGGAAATTTACTTCAGAAAATAGAACAAAAATAACTCTTCGATGAGCAATAATAATCTGAACTAATAATTTTAATTTTTGGTATAGTATTTTACATTCAGGTATAGTGATGTATTCCCCCTGTCAAAGGAGTAATTTACTTCACTTGAGTAGAAGATAATTTGCGAAATTTTGATATACTATGTTAAATATATAATAGTAGCAGATAACGTGGCAGAGTAAATCCACAAAAGCAAAATGTTCCACCTTTACTATTAGCATTTTTTCTGCAAAATATACGCTATCCGCTGTTCAAACATAGTATCTAAAAAAAAAGAAAATGTAAATTAAAAACTGAAAAAAACTTGAATAAGTTATATAAGTGTGAAAACAAAAAAAAATACTTGAAAGAAAACTTACCAACTATAGCAAACCAAGGACCATTCGTCGGAATAGATATAATGATATCTTCCATCGTCGTTCCAAACTGCAAGGAAATTAAAATTTTATTTATGCAATTATATATATTAAATTTCATGTAAAGCAAATCAATTCTTTCTTTAAAATAATTTGCTATAGCATTGAATGTAGACACCCCCTTCTTCTTCTTTGGAATTCTTTCCAATTTGATTAATTTCAGCTTTGTTTTTTCAAAATTCATTATAAAAGTGTTTGCATTTAAATTCATCAGCAAAAAAGCAGAAGAAAAATATTTAATTTACTTTTTTTTATTTATAATTTTCAAATTTTGCACTTTTATTTTGCACTTGAAAGTTTTGTATTATGTTATTAATTTTTTAAATATTTATAATTTAAACAATTAATTTAATTTTATTTCTTTAATATACTTAATTTTTATATTTTTATTGAAATATATACTGCATAAATATATATACTGCATTAATTGTAGTAAGAATTACTATATTTTTGAGCAATTTTGCATCAATTTTTTACAGTGTGTATAAATAATAAATCGATTTCATCGAAATTTAATATTTAAATTCTTCATATTAAAACAATGAACATACCAAAAAATTTGGAAAGATCAGGGCTCGGAAACTGATCTGCGGGCCAATTTTACATTTTTTATCATATCTACTAAACTAACTGGCGAGCATTTCAGGGAAATCAAGTGGCACAAATCGAAACTCTACTAAGAGCCAAATTTACATTTTGCTAGTTGTGTTAACTAAAAGCTGATCATCATGATTTTTTTTAATAAAATAAAACATTAACAAATTAATTTCGTTTATCAAAATATACGAAATAAAATATTGTTGAATTTTATATATGACAAGGAAATTTGTATGGATAAAAAATTATTAATGAAATTGTATAGATAAATTATTGTGGATCATATATCAGACTGGAGGTCGTGAAGAACTTTTGGGAATTGAAAATTTAAAAGAAAATGAAAACTTTTATATTAATTATTTTTATAAAATTTTCTTCTATTGATAATTCTAAAATTATTGGTGTATGAAATTCTTCTTCTATTAAAAATTGTTCGCTACTAAAATTTTTTTCTACTGTAATAAAAACTCACAATTTATGAATTAACAAAAAATTGTGGACACGTTAAATGTATTTCACTGAACCAAGTTATTATAACACATATTTTATATGTTATATGCAATTTATTATGTTATAAAGCATAATCAAGAGATTTTTTCATTATTGCCGTCACAGAAATAAAGAAGTTGCAAAATTATACCCATATAATTTATATCCGCTGGAGTCCCCGGATATACAACGCTATTTGGTTATGAAAAGCCACACAAATTTTGTGTTCATAAAGTTGGTGTATTAAAAAAAAAAAGGAAAAAATAACGCAAGGAAAGATATTTTTCACTTTTAATTATAATTTTATTACTGAATTTATAAGAGAAAATGAAGAAAAAGGGACATGAACCGTATGGTTTTTTAAACGACTTCTTTGTAATTTTTGAAGCTGAAGTTTTAAAAATTTTCCTAGATATAGCAAAAAAGCCGCCAAAACGGCATCATTGAGGATCATTATTGTGAAAAAAAAAACAAATAATCATTTGTTTCTTTTTTTTTAAACCCGAAATCATTTATTTCAATAAATATTGCAGAGTCAACACGATTAAGTCATTATTTTCGTACTCTGAATTTAAGATTGATTAATTTAAAGAAAAAGAATAAAAAAAATTGTATATTTTTATTTTAAATTTATCGTTCGACATGTAATTCATATAATTAATGTTCATCTTCTTCAAAAAACCTTAAAGTATTAAAGCTAACACTCGTAAGGCAAATAAAAATATTTTTCGCTTTTATGTCCTTGAATACTTTTAATATAATAATGTTAAATATTGATGTTCGTTAAAGTACGAATAAAAACAATTTAAGTACAATTTTTAGCAACATACAAAAATTATAACTTATACATGTACAAAAATATTTACATAAATAATTTATTTCAAATAAATATTTTATATTTAACTTTTAGTACAATCGCTTACATGCCAAATATGTAGCTGGTATACTACGCGAAGCAACGAACCGTCTTAAGAGACTTCCAAATTTAAATCAAGCATCGACTGCAATATCAAAACAAGTTACTGTGTGTGGTGACTTACACGGAAAATTAGATGATTTATTAGTAATTTTCCATAAGGTATGTTTACTCAACTTATTTCTAATTTTAATTACGTATATTAAAATAGTGGTTTGTTTATACACAGAATGGACTTCCATCAACTGAAAATCCTTATGTATTTAATGGTGATTTTGTAGATAGAGGTAAAAAAGGTCTTGAGGTGTTCTTGTTATTGCTAGCGACCTTTTTAGTTTTCCCTGGTGGAGTATTTTTAAATCGAGGAAATCATGAAGACAGCGTTATGAATGGTAGATATGGTTTTATTAGAGAAGTTCATCAAAAATATAAAGTAAGTGCGAATTAGTTATAATATAATACGAGTAGTAGTTATAATTATAACTTATTCTTATATAATTATAATTATAACTGTTAATCTCATGCAATTTAACTTGCCATATTTCAGCGTAATGCAGAAAAGTTATTAAAATTGATTGAAGAAGTTTATAGATGGCTACCATTAGGTACAATCGTAAACAATCGTGTATTAATTGTCCATGGTGGTATATCAGATACAACAGATTTAGATTTAATTAAAAGTCTAGATAGAGGAAAAGTAAGTTATATTATTTATAGAACTTAAGGTTAATAACATTATAACCTTATAACAAAGACCTAATAGATATTTTAATTGTCCAAAAAATGTTGGCCCAGTATATAAATTGAATAAGAAAAATTTAATTTGAAGGCTCTATAATATTTTATAAACTGCAATACACTCAATACATTCAATCTTTACATATTTTTTTAGTATCTCTCAATTTTGAGGCCCCCAGTTACAGAAGGTTCACAGCCAGGAGCGGATATCGTAGACAAAGTGGAATGGAAGCAGGTAAAGCCAAAGTGTCGTTTCTAAATTAAACCAAGCAAGCTTCTTTTCTTATAAACTTATAGTTTTATGTTTTCAAATCCCAAAATCATTATACACGAACATTTTCTTTTAAAGATATTTGACATTATGTGGAGTGATCCTAAACCTAACGAAGGTTGTGAACCAAATTCCTTACGTGGTGCTGGTTGTTATTTTGGACCTGATGTAACAAATACTTTTCTACAAAAATATAAACTTTCATTTCTTGTTCGATCACATGAATGTCGTCCAGATGGTCATGAACTAACACATTCTGGAAAAGTATTTACCATTTTCCATTAACTTTTGTAATTTTAATTATAACAAAAAAAATTTCTAATCCAAGGTTATTACAATATTCTCAGCATCAAATTATTACGCAATCGGTTCAAATAAGGGAGCTTATTTAAAACTCGATCCACATTTAGATACACACTTCGTTCAATATACAGCTGCAGCAAGTAAAACAAGAAAATTAACTTTCCGCCAAAGAGTGGGTTTAATTGAGAGTTCAGCTCTAAGAGAATTAGGAGCAAGACTACGTGAAAGTCGATCAGATTTGGAGAAGGCCTTTAAGAAGCGTGATAAAGATGGCTCAGGTATTTAATTGCTGTACATTTTTATTGCATCATAATTTATTTGTGAAAGTAACGTACATATATTTTGTTTACTCTTATTCCTTATATAGGACATTTACCTCTATCAAAATGGTGTGAAGCTATGGAAGAAGCTACTGCATTAGGTCTTCCTTGGCGTTTGCTACGTGAAAAACTAGCACCAGGTCCTGAAAATGTTACACCATCATCTTCAACAGAAGTCAATTACAATAATACGCTCGAATTATTGGATACTGATATTATAGTAAGTATATTTCAAGGTTTATTAAATAATTTATTAATAAAATAATTTTATTTAATTTATTCATTAAATAAAATTTAATGAAATTGTTTTATTAATTTTATTAGTAGTAAGCAACTCCGCAAGAAAAGCTAACATGGCTTCTTGAAGAGAAAGAAACGTTTGCTAAACATTTTTGTCTACAACAATTTGAAAAGTATAAAATGCCCTTGCAAGCCTAATTTTTTGTATAGTTTTTAAAAAACTATATTTTTTAGAATAAATCAAAAATCTACACCTGTCAGTTAAAAATTGGAAAATCCGTCAATTTAAAGTTGAAGAGATTGTAGAGTAAACTCTTAATTTTGAGAATTGTATATTTTAGCTAATATTGGTCACAAACAACGAAAACAAAACAAAGTTTTATCTTCAAGACAACTGTTCCAAAGTTAGGAACGGTCATTTATTAGATGCTTTTATTATTCGACTCATGAAGTCTTAATGTTAAGTTATATAATAAAATATAGATTTACTTTCATTAAATTGTAAAATATTTAAAGCCCAAAAAATTAATTCGCTTTCGTTTTCTAAATTTTGTTTATCCTTTCTAAATTTTGCATTGCATTAAGCTAAAAATACAAAACTTTATAAAATGTGACAAAAGCGAAACGTCGTGTGATAGAAATAAAACAAAAAATAATTAATTACCTTATCTTTCAGACAATAGTGTGACCATCAAACAGGGGTAGCGGGGTTTAAAAAGTTCAAAATGACAATATTTTCACTTTTGACTTTATATATTTGATAACATGAATGCTTATAAAGAGAACTAAAATTAAGACAAATCATAGAAGCTCTTTTTAATTTAATAAGAAGAATTAACATTAAATTTTGCGTTCTGTATCCTTTAAGTGAAAGGTAAAAATATCAATTATACTTACATACTTAAACAATAGTTCACATTTAGCGCCCTGCATAATTCTTAAAAAAGAGTTTCCTCTCGTTGCATACATACATTCATTTTTAAGATCTTGTTTCTCAAACTTTTCGAGAATTTTAAAAGCTTTAACATGATTTAACTTAAATTATAAGATTTCAATTAATTACTCTTATTTGGTTTTCTTCAATAGTATCATTTTATAATTTTTCCTCTAATATGTCAAATGGAATTGGTATAACCTTTTATAAGATACTGTGTGTGCTTTATAAAGCTTTACAATATGTGAATATCAGCATATATAAATAGTGTTTCAAAACTGTATTTTTTCATATTATTTATCTAAAATAAGTTATCCTGTTTCTTGAGTAGTAACTATAAATTTGATAATTTAACAATTTTTTAGATAAAAATATGTATGCGTGCAATTCTTATACATATGTACATGATGTATATTACTTAGAGTTGACAAATATTTCCAAATACTTTAACTAGTAAACAGCGTTTAAACTTTCTTTTTATCAAGTACATCAAGCAATTTACAACTCGCTTAAAATTCTATAAATAATTATTTTTAATTTTAACAGAAATCAACTCAGCACGCTTCTACTTCTGTTGCGGAATCGCTATATACAAACAAAAGTAGTTTAGAAGCGATATTTAGAATATTAGATAAAGATAATTCAGGTAATTATACGTCAGAGGCCTATGAGCGCTTTACTTAAAAAATTTAATAAATTAAATTATTTTATAATGCTTCCTATACACGCACAATAGGCCAAATCTCGTTAGAAGAATTTGGAGATGCATGTGAATTATTACAAAAGCATCTTCCTGGCACTGACACTAAAGAACAACTTTTAGATATGTGTAAAATGATGGATATTAACAAAGATGGGTTAGTTGATCTGAATGAATTTCTTGAAGCATTTAGATTATGTGAAGCTGCTCGACGAGGTGTAACATTGAATTCTTCGCCATCTCCGGAGCTATCATCAAAACAAAATGGTTCAGTTAATGTTGGAGAAAGTAAGTTAACATTTAAGTTATTGTGTAAATGCAATTTTTGACAAAGTTTTATAACTTACATTCTTTAAAGTTCTTTTTAAGCTATGTGCATATTATATAATCCTCATCAAAATAAATCTTGTTTTAACATATTTCACTTATATAGTAGTATACATAGTTATGTGATGTTATTTACAATATTTAATATGTTTAAGGATGCTATTGCATTTTTGTTAACCGTATAACTTTTAAGTCAAAATCATATCATTAATCTTATGTGTGAAACGTGTTCATCAATAATATGAAATATTTCTTTTTAATGAATTAAGACTTAAGCTGCATTTCCTCTCAAAGTACATATGCTCAGACAATATATTTAACTAATCAAAATGTTTCATTTACAAAACTGAAATGGCTTGACAGTTTTAGTTCATCCACTTTTTTGAGTTAAAAAATTTAATTTTTGAGTCGAAGCTAACGCCAATGATATCTTTGTTAGGTTATGTTATACATATTTATTTACAATTTAAAATATCAGTCCTTCGGTACATAAGAGCAAATCAAAAATGTTCTTGTACGTAGTTGTAAATAGATTATAAAGTAAAAATTATTTTATTCTGACTTTCGGAAAGAGAGAAGAAACGCATCTTTAGTGTCATTTACGATAACTTTGAAGTTCGCATCTGAAATGATTAGATTCTTAGATGTGTACTTGCATAAAAGCCAAACGAATGTTTATTTGCATTTTATCAGAAATTAATTAACGGGAAAAATTCTATTCTATTCTGGCCTATGAGATAATAATTAACTCAATTATATTATAGCAAAAATCTGCTTTTATTTTAAATTTCTTTGAGATGGAATAACGCTCCAACTAGAAAGGGCTTACTATTTTTAGCTCTAAGAATTTCGAAATTGGAATTAAAATTATTAACTCACTAAAATAGTGTAATAGTATAGGTTTTCTTTCATTAATGTTAAAGAGTGAATTTTTGCGGTAGTTTTAATTTGCTTTATGTCTACTAAAAATAAAATAATTGTGTACAACTGGCTCAATAATTAATAGCATTTCTTTAGAGGTGGGAACCAAAAATTGTTAAATCATATTTTATTTTTATTTTACAATATGAAAATTTGAAATTGAAGTAACAGACATTAAGCTGTCAGTCTTGTGTCAGGGGATGTACGGATAGGGCTACTAAGGCCACATGGGACTGAAAAAGGATATGCGGCACAACTCGGCGGAATTTTATTAATTTCAGAACACTTTAGCTCCTTTGAGCTTTGGTTCAAAATTAGAAATGTGATGCACCTATTTACATTTGCATTTGCGACAACAAATAATTTCGCTTTGCAAATAATTTAAAAGTATTATTAACACTTAGCATTTGTTCATTTAGCACAATTCTGTTATCATAATTAAATTTAATTCTAATGTTATTATTTAAATTTTTTTATCAGCTTTGTAATTGTATCAGCTTTTTTTATTTAACATTATGGGAAATCATATGTTGAGTTTATTTAGTTCAAGTAATTATAGCACTTCCACATTAAGGTATTCAGAAATAAGTTCTTTACAAGCTATAAATTTTTGTGGCAAAATATCTTTCTATTCTATAATAATAATATAATGAAATATCTAATTTATTTCATTATATTTGAAAATGTAAATTTGTTTTTGCACCTTCTCGCGTAAATTTTTCTCTTTTATGTAGATTGCTTATATACAGATATGTGAATATTCATTAAACTCTTTCATTCTTTTAATGGATATTTATATACAAGAAATAAATTTTTAATCCATCTCCAATTAAAACCCTTTATTTTAACTGACCTGAAAAACAAATACGTACATTACTTTAATTTTTTTTCGAGAACATTGGAAAACTTTTTTGCCACAAAAAATTTTAGTTTGTACGGGTTTTTTTCTTTAAATTAATAAACTTTTTTATTGAACTATTTACGATTTTAAAATATCATTCATTTTACTATTGTATTTTTGTTATTTTATTCTAATAATTTAATTTATTTATATTTTTTTTAAATTTAGTAAATATATGGGTATTTATTTTATATTTCTTTTTCAGATTATTGCAGTTTTTTAATTTTTATTTCTTCATGATCATAATCCAAATTTTTAATTTCTAGTATGGTAAAAATATTTCTACGTCAGTATTATTGCATCAGTTTATTTCAATAAAATTTTAGACTCAATTAGCTAGTTTGCATAAGACTTTTAAAATTAGCAAAAAACATTTTGTTTTCTATCGTTTTGCTTACATTTTTAATAAGAATATTTCACATTTTAACATTATGAAATTCATATACGAATTTCTTTTATGACAGAAAAAAATACAAAACAAACATCAGAAAAAACATCACTGCTAGCATCACCTGAACTTGAACTTTCTGACGAAGATGATCCAGAAGATTCTGAATCTAAAGCAGTTAAAACAACATCACGACACTCAAAACACAGAAAATGAAAGTCTAATACATAAAGTAATCGCTATCATAATTAAATAAACAACATAATATACTTACTCATACATATAAATTTTATGTATTTTAAAAAATTAATTAAAACACACAATGAAGTCAGTTAAAGTTAATTTTCATAAGCATTTTTCTTCAATCAAAGTAGAAAACTTTTTATTACGAACAAATTATTACGTTAATTTATTAAAATTTTGGTATGCATGCAAAACGTTTAATAAATTCTTTTTTATTTTAGGTATGTAAATAAATATGAATTTCAAGTATTAGTTTCTTTTTAATTTACAGTTCAATGATTTCGAACTACACAAGTACTTTAATTTACATGGAGTTAAGAAAGTTAAAACAATTTTTTTTGTAGTATAGAAAATTATCAATACAAATAAATAATATGCAAATTTTAACTGCAGATGACTTGCTCTGTAGAAATTAAAGCTCGATATGTAAAATTAATCAAAATTGATTACTTAAATTTACTTTCAGAAAAATAATAACCGAAAGATAATTCAAATCATGTTTTGTTTATTTTAAGTCAGAGATTATTAAGTCAGTTAATAAAAATTATTAAATTTCTCGTTGGCATAGCATTTTTGTTAATTTTCTCTATTTATACAAATTTGGAAAAGCTAGCAGTTTTGGAAATATAAGTTGCCGAAAATTCACAGTTTACAAAACTTCGGGAGGTGATAGTTTGAGGGGGGAGTTATGAAAAAATTGTCTAGCAAAATGAACTCTTTATTAGTTTTTGAAAACTGATAACATTTTGGACTTCTAAAGCTTATTTTCTAGAAGAAAAGCGGTATCAAAAATTTGAAAACCGATTTTAGATAACGGTTAATTATAACGATCATTTTGTTATTATAAAGGTCAACAAAACCACGCTGTAGGAAAAATAATTCACCACTACTTTCCTGCGTTTGCAGAATTGAAAAAAATGCAATATTAGGAATATAAGGGACTATAACTTTTAGAGGGAGGATGAGATGATAGAAAATTATAAAAGATCAAATTATATACAAAATTTCAGCTTTCTATTTTAAAGGAAGCGGAAGTTTTGTAACAGAGACACGGATAGACGGATGGGACTTGTTTCAAAGTCTAAAAAAGGTATTAACTAAAAAAATTTTAAGTGAAGTTCAGTCTCTTAATAACTTAAATACTAAAAATCCCATTAATTAGTTTCTTACATATGTCAAACAAGTAAAAACGTTTCAGTCGGTATAAACCGATAAACCGAACCGGTGACACCATTCTATAGAAACTTCTCGGATATGTCTAACCTATAGTTGGACACAAAACTGCCAAGTTTCATGAATTCGGCTTTATTATTTTTCCAAATATTTAAAATTAGGTTCTGGACTTGTATGGGAGCTACTCAAACCTGCCAAGCAATTCCACTAAAACTTCACAAATATATCTGACCTATAATTGGACACATGACTGCCAAGTTTCATGAATCTAACTTTATTATTTTTCCGAATATAAAAAATTTGCTTTTGGAGTTGTGTGGCAGCCACCCGTACCAATGCAGTTATCCTATTAAAATTTTTAGAGCATGTGTAGAATATTGGACACATGTATACAAAATTTTATATTTATACTTTTATTAATTTTTATAATATTTAAAATAAACTCTTTGAGTTGTATGGCAGCTACCCGAACCTGTTGTCCGAATTAGTCCAATTACAATAGGCTTTGTCCTTAGCACAAAAGAAACAACGTGTGAAAGTTTGGTGTTGATATTCGTTTTTGAGTTATCGCGCGACCGGACGGACGGACGGACATGTCTTGCCAATAAAATAATAACAGTCGATAATTAGAAAAGAAGTTTTAAAAAAGTACAATAAAGTTACTTCAAACCAATGCTTTGTAGTGTAGCAGTTTTCCCTTCAACAAATGGAAGTACTTGTTTTAAAAACAATCAATTACATTTTTTGAACAACTTTATTTCATATACGAAAAGATATTTCAAAGATAGCATATATGTAGGATGAGGCAAAAAACAATAGAAAAAAGTGCTAATATAACGCTTGAATTCAAAGTTTATTGAGTTGAATGAAATAAACTTTTTATCAGTATATAAAAGCTGCCAAAATTTCATACTCCTATAGCCTTTTGCATAGAAGAGAAATTACATCACAAATTTGAAAAAACGGGTCTTAAATAACTGTTAATTTTAACGGCCATTTGAATGGTTTAAAACACTTGTTAAATGTTTAATAAAATAATTATGTTTTCGGGTACTACAATTAATTAACCAAAAATTTCTCTAGATAATTACGCATACATATGTATATATTATGATATGTACACACCACACATATACGTTATCTTATTAGTGTTACCCTAAGCAGGGCTGCTGTTTGAGTCCAATTCGAAAATTAATGTCCTTGTAGCTCTTTTTGCATTTTGGCTTCGATTTTGCTAAAAAAGCTTTTTGTGCAATTTGTTGCCAAACCGAGGCTAACAAAATTATGTAAGTACACCTTTTCGTGCAAATATAAAAGCCGCCTATTTTTTGTAGTCAATTTAATCAATTTTTTTTTTTTTTCTTTTCCTTCTTCACTCCTAGGAGGAGTATAGGACTAGTGCATGATATCTATCACGCCCTAGTTTGTATAGTCATAGAGAGTTAGCTAGGTAGGTGACTAGCCTACCGTAGTTTTTATTTATATTAAATATTTCAGTTTATTAATATTATTTTACTGTTTATTTTTCTTAGTCTTTACTGTCTTTAGTATGGAATATTATGAATATTTGAAAATTACTTGTATAATATTTATTAGTATTGCATATGGGTCGGTGCCATAACCTTTGCACCAATGGTCAGGTATTTAATCAATTAGGTTGGTTTTTTTTACAATTCAATACAATTTAATTTTGATTTTGAGTTATATTTTTCAGAGATATAGACATTTGGTCTTCACAGCTATAATATTGTATTTGAAGTTTTTTTATTTTTTATATTTCTTTTAAGTAAAAATGTCCTGAGAAGGGAAAATTGGAATTTAAATACCCTGTGAGAAATTGTAATAAAAACTTAAAAACTAATACTATTTTAGCCATTATTAGCCATTTAAAGTGTAAAATAACCAAACTTGTGAAAACACGTCGCCGTCAGTAGATGAAATCTTGTATAGAATTTTTACAAAAGCTGCTTCTCAAATTCGAGACACGCGGGTTTAGTATTTATCTACATTACCAAAAATTTATGGGCAATTTTTCTGAAAATAGCATCATTATTGAGGATTTGAATATTGATTATGGCAAGAATAGTAGCAGCAAGAGACAATTGCATCAACTATTTGAAAATTTTGGTTTATCTCAGATTATAGATGAACCATCATGATTAATGAACTAATAAAATTTGTTTTTCTAATTTTTTCTTATAATTAAAATTAATTTCATTCATATGGGAGTATATTTCAAAAATTGCATACATTTATAATGATCAGTGTACGCAATATTGAAAGAAAAAATAGAAAAATTTAAAGAGACATTAACATAATGTTCCGGTTAATTGCGTAGGTTAAGAAAAAAAATAATTATTTTTTTTAATGACATGCCATTTACTTTAGCTTTCCGCATTTATAGAAATTTGGAAAAGCTTGCAGTTTCGGAAATATAATGTGTCAAAAATTCAAATTTTACAAATTTTAAGAGGCGATAACTTGAGAAGTGGAAAAAAATTCTACTGAAATGAACTATTTATTAGTGTCTAAAACTGCTAAAATTTCAGACTTCTACAACCTGAGTTCTAGAAGAAAAACGATTTGGAAAACGGATTTTAGCTAACTGTAAATTTTAACGGTCATTTATTTTTAAAGTTCAAATAAGGTATGCCACTACTTTCCTGCGTTTGCAAAATTTGCTCTGAATAGTTAAAAAGCGGCATTTTGGGAAGAACTCAAATTGAAGATCTGGAATGGTTCATGAAGACTTTTTTATCAAATCTTAAAAATGAAGATTTTATTAAAAAAAAAAATGAAGATATTGCGACTAATCTATTCAGCAGGACTGTACGCAAATAAGTTTCTAGTAAAAATCTTTATACATATGAAATGTCAGTTTTCTATCTTCAGGAGTATAGAAGTTTTGTAAACATGTCCAAATACGGACAGACGGCGTGAAACTAATAAGCCCCTTTTTTCAAATTTTTTTTGGAAAAGTGCTAAAAAACAATTCTTCAAAAACATAAAAAAGAATTACAGCCCAAGTATTTATTCAGGTATTTCGTATTTATAAGTACTTCAGACGGCGCAATGGTACACTCTTTTTCAAAGCTATATATGTTTGGAGTAAGTTATCGAAAGTAACACTTACAGTTTTATCTTTGTATTGATATGTTAGAGTTTTGAAAGAAAACAAAAAAAATTTATCGCTTTAGTATATATGTTAGAATATAAAGAATAAAGAAATTAAATTTTTGTTTTGTACGAAAAAGCCCATTTTTTATTAATCTGCATTTTACCGAACAAACATTAACTAAAATGTACACAAAAATAAAAAAAACCTTTTGAATTATATTTTAATACTCAATATTTATTGACTTGATTTTATTGAATTTTTACAAATTTTGATCAATTTTTTTTCTTTTCATTTTAAAAGAACCTGATAAATTATCAAAAACAATTGGCGACGCTTTCAATGAATCGCAATTATTATCGGCGTCAGTGTTAAGTGAAAGTTACGAAATTGATGAAGATGAAGATGGTGACATTATAGTTGATGATCTTGGAAAAATTATATTGGTTTGCACAGAAGATAATAAATAAGAGAAGTTATTGCACTATTTTGCGTATTTTCAAATAGAAATTAGATAAAAAATCCTATGGCATTACTTAAAAAAAAAACGCATTAAAAAAAGCAAATTTCAAAATTATTATATACATTTTTATAGAAAAATTTTTTTCAGCCCAAAAAGCAAGAATAATATGTAATGTAGGGGAAAAAAATTTGAAGTCCTATTTAATTCTTTCAAAACAAACAATTTCCAAAACAAAAATTAAAATAAACAATTTTATTATGGGGCCAAATATTGAAAAGTAATAAAATAATATTAACATAAATTAATTAAATAAAAAATCAAAGTAATCGAATCTGTTTAACTGATTTCACTTTAAAACGAACTATTTTTTTAAAATTTCAAAATTAGCATAATAATTTTAATAGGTAATTTATATTTTTAATATAATGTACATAAATGTATGTTCATTTTCAAAATGAATAAAAAACTTCATGAAGGAAAAACGAATTTCATGTTTTAAAATCAAAAAAAAAAAGCAAATATAATATTAATATTTCTGGCTATAGCTTTAATTTATTGCGTAATAAAAATATATTCTACATCTGCACTCATAATTATAGTCAAAATAAAAAAAGGAAATAATAACATATTATATACATACATACATACATTTTAATTATATAATTTATATATTACAAAAATTTTAAAAACAATTTTTACCGTCTTTTTATCGTAATATGTAGCTCAAAAAGCTTAGATAGGTTTTACTATACTGTTATAGAATAATGTAATAAAATCCTTTAACTAGTAAAATTATACAATTAAGTATCACAAAGCTTTAATCATAAATATATTTTAAATGTCTGTATTTTTGAAGTTAATCATAGAAATATTAAAGAAAGAAATACATAAATATATTAATTAATAGATATTGAAGAATGAAAAAAAAAACAAAATTTCATATTTAAACTTTGTAATTCAAGCACCCTCTACTCGTTCTGATACAAAAATATTTTAAAAATATTTGCAATTTCTATCAAATTAGCAATAACATATTACTTATTTTGCCATAAAAATAAAGTGGACAAATATTTTAAATTCAATTTTAAAAAGTGTCAAATAAGGATTATTTGATAATATATATTGTAGAGCTTAAAACTAGGAAAAGCTTAGATGAATTTGTACTATTTTATAAATTATGACTTTAATTAAATTTTGATATACCAATATAAAATAAGCTAGATACAGAGAAAAATAATTAAAGAAAATAATAATTTTTATTGAATGTTAAATAAATGTTCTTCTATATACAGCAATAATGTTTTGTTTTATTATATTATAATATTAGTTATGTATTTAAAATATTCAAGGTTTTTTTATATTATAATCAAAATATACATACATATTTAAAAATTTTAATTAAAATAAAAAAATTGGCAAGTCAATTTATATATTTTGAAGCACAAATGAAAGATATTCGTAAAAATTTAATGCCAAAAAAAAATTCCTGTTTCAAGCAGAAGTTAGTACTTATCCTAAGCGTATTTCTTTCTCAAAAATAACAAATTATATCCTATCTCTATGTTTGTGACGCAGCGAACGGAAGAGTGTATGCCTTGTTGATGCACTGTACATAAATAGGTTGCCCTATAGAAATCATTCCCGTACGAGTATAATAATGCTTTTATAACATATATTTTATTTATGTGGAAATAAAACAGTCGTCTAAAACTAATACAAGTTTTTTTATCATTTAAACATGTCTTTTTATAAAATTTTGAATGAAAATTAAATTTCAACCTATAATTTGTTCTCCTGAACAATTTTTCAATTTTGACTTCAATAGTTTTTAAGCACTGAGTCTCTTTTATATATTTGATATAATGCTTTTTGAGAAACGATTCTCGCATCATAATTTTTGGCACTATGAAGAAAATCGGTTATTACAAATTTCCGCTTACGGTAATGAAAATTCTCCCACTGTGCTTGTGTCTTTGCCTATCCATAAATGAATGTTAGCGGTTATATGATTCTGGCAACAACATCTTAAAAGATATTTTTGTCAGCTGACGAACGGATTAAATCCCCGATGTTCCTAATACCTGTCCATTTTCTAATCTTGCATAACCACAACATCTTCTTTCTTTCCATTTTCTAAGTAGCTCGTATTTGTTTTTAGCATTATGTGACCAAAGTAAGATATTTTTAATTTTAGAAGTAGTTCTCTTTATGCATCCATGATATTCATGTCATCTTTCAAAAACCAAATTTTTTTTTGGTAACGGGACGAATGTTTAGTTTAGCCAATATGATGGGAAATTTCCGCTGCAATAAATGACATTGAAAATTCTTTCGACATAACCAGATTTCATCGTTGATAAGTTTAATTACTTCTGATGGTATTTCATCTGACCCCCCCGTTTTGTTATTTTAAGCTGCCACAATTGCTTTTTAGCGCTTTTCCAAAAAAATTTTGAAAGAAAGTGTTTATTGGTTTCACGTTGTCCGTCCATCCGTCTGTCCGCGGACATGTTTACAAAATTTCTGTACCATTGAAGGTTCATAGCTGAAATTTCATACTTAGACGTTGCATTTCTTGAATTGTTTTAGCTCATTTATCAGCTTCAAATAGACTGTTAACTTTCCGAGTGCCAATATTTACTGCAGTTTTTTTTACCTTCGAAGATTCATAGCAGCCTTTTCCGGAGACTGAGGGCCGTTGTTTTCTGAAGGGTTTCCGATAACTGTCCTTCTTTATAAATCAGCCGTCCTTAGCATAAGAACAGACGCTGTTTGCAGCCACCTGCTTTAGAGCAGACACTACAGATATTTCCCTGATCTTTACGTTGAAACAGTTCAGAAAAACTGCCACATTTGCTTATTTGCTGACTTCTTTACTACACCAGGGTTGGTCATCTGATCTTACGATTAAGTTGCTCAGTATAACAAGTGAAGGTACCACGTGAAGGTAAAATTTGACGTTGAGTAGCAGAATCTTTGCTGGCATGTTTGGAAACTACCAGCCATATTCCGCGTGCTATCGTATCCCTCACCCTTTTAACACGAAGCTTCATTAAAAGTTTTAATATTTGTCACGTTTTGTAAATTTTAAATTTGTAAATATAAATATTAAGATGGGCAAGGTGGAAAGGGAAGTGTGTTATCTCTGCTTGGAGGAGAATGAGACGGCAGAGTATCTGCTATACGAATGTGAGGCTATGGCCTTTTTAAGGCTCAAGTGCTTCGGGCGGGGCTTTGTGACCCCTTCGGAAGTGTCATGGATAGGAGTTAGGGGCCTAGAAATAGTGCTCATGTAAATGGATCGCGAATCCATTTACATGAGAATGGATATATGTACTAAGTACGTAATATACAATATTTTTAGGGGATACTTAAATTGATTTTTTATTTTTTTGCTTTAATAATTTTTTTTTTGGTTAACCAAAAGATGTTTACAATAAAATTGTATTTATAATTCATCTGTTGGCACCGCTTTTAAAATATCAATTTCGTAGTTTAATACTGGCAGTACTTTCTTCCAATGTGGTTTTGTTACACAGCGCCTTTTGGCAATTGCATTACTGTATGGATTTCTCCAAGTGTCAGAATAAAATTTCTTTCTGAAAATTTTCAAAAACTTCATCTTCAGTGCCAATAATTTTTTTTGTTTTTGGTGTATTACTGATACACGAACGCATTAGAAACATTTTTTTAAAAATTAAAAAAATTATTTATTTCGTATATCAATTTTCTTCTCTTTGAATAAATTTATTTTATAAATTGAAATGAAATTCATGCACTGCCCTGGTAAGTATAAGGCCATCGCGTAGAGAGAGCAACTTTCACTTTTCTTTTACAGTTTTTAAAAAAATGTATAAAGTATATATGAAGAAAAAAAATTATCACTGTCCTTTTATGTTTTTAGTCATTTACATCAAAAAATATCCTATAAAAATCATAGTATAAAAATAATATTTTGCTATTGGTTACATTTTTGTATATACATATAACTAATGTCATTTAACCAATAAATCGGCAAAAGTAAAATTTTTATTTATTAAAGATCAAGTAAGGAAGACAAGTAAGGTTGACCGCGCTAAAAATTGCAATTTTTTTTTTAAATGCATTTTTCAGATGGAACATACCAACCGATTTATACCAATATGTTGAATCAGTAGAGTCAAAAATATTAATCGATTTACTTTACACAAATAAATTCCGACACACCTTACATTTAAACTCCATATAAATTTGGAATTTATTTTTGATTTGCTCTCTGAGCTTGATAGCCTGCATATACATATATCGTCATTAGGAAGAGTACTGAATTACAGAGTAAAATTTTTTAGTAAAAAATAGAATTTAAAGAGAAATTGAAAAAAAAGCAAAAAAATAATTATTAAAATCTAGACGGCTTTTAAAACTATACTAAATAATCAGAGCGTCACAAACAATGCTCAAAAATTTCATAGAAAAAATAAAAATATTTCAATTGTAACTTTTTCCGATTCAAAATTTCGGAAAATTCTTTCAGCTTGGAGGCCTGATAGATACATACATATAGCATTAGTTTTTTCAAACTAAAGATATATTGAATGCGAATTATATCGAAGCTGACCCGATTGAAGCAGTTCGGAAATTTTTTTAATGCGGTGGCATTAAACTTACTAGGGCAGTGATACATTATGTATTTAATGTCACAATACACTTGAAAAGGCAGTTTTCTTGTTCAAAAATTTTGAATATTATCAATTTTATTTAACGATTTTACTGAACATCTCTAAACAATATTAATAATAATAAATATAATTTTATACATACATATACATATGTATATTTTAACGACTCTAAACTGTATAATGTTGTCGTATTATTCATCATTAATTAATTGACCTTCACATACTAATACATTCCGAAACAATAAATTTTATAAATAACACTAATAATATAAATAATTTTACTTATTGCATTGAATGACATCGAAACGAAATATACTCTTTTTAAACACCCTTTTTTTAAATATTTTAAAATTTTTTTATCCTATTTGTTTACCTTTTATGGAAGTGTTGCTTATTTGTTTAAGAAAAAAAAAAACAACATTTAGCATTAGTAGCTTGATCGAGTATCTCAATTTTATTACTCACTCTTTTTTCACTTTCAAATCAAAACTATCCATTTTTCTAATGAATATTTTATTTTTCCAATAAGATTACTAATTTTTTCAATTGAATTTTTACATTTGTTCCAAAATTGTCGACTGAAAGTATTTCAAAAACAAAGTCTTTTTTTAATACAGGTATTAATAATGAAAGGCAATCACCGAAAGCATAGGTGCACCCAAACTGTCGTCAGACCTACCAGTACTGCGGGACTTTAAATCAATCTAGATCACACATATCATGGATGGTCATATACTCCTGAAACTAGTCAAACTGGACTAACCACTAGTTTTGCTTTATCTTGGTTTTTTGTCTATACTTCGCGAAGGCGAGCACGAAAATGATGGAAG